ATGTGAGTCGACTGCTTTCAATATTTTATATTATAATAATAAACGCGAAAAACAACATTAATTTGTTGAGAGCTCAAATAGAAAAATGTTATACCACTGCTCTTTTTTTTATTATTATTATTATTATTATTATTATTATTATTATTATTATTTGTTCTTAATAAAAACATATTACTTGAGAAGGGAGGGGAGGAAAGACCCGCAAACGCCCACGCGTTTTTTTTTTTTTTTTTTAAATATTACTTCATCTTAATCGTAACTAGAGATAATCGGAAAAAGATAAACAAAAGTTAAAAAAGTAATTTAAAAAAAAAAAAGAAGAAAAAACGTATATCATCCGCTCGGTCGTGTAACAGCAGTACTTTTTTTTTGTTTCCTTTCTTTCTTCATAACCGCTTTTAAAAAGAATATTTACGATAGCGTTTTTTGTTGTTGTCATTATTATTATTATTATTATTATTATCATTATCATTATCATTATTAATATAATTATTATAATAATTATTATTATTATTATCATTATCATTATCATTATTAATATAATTATTATAATAATTATTATTTTTTTATAATTATTAATATTATAATTATTATTATATTATATATCATCGCTTCACTGATAAATTACTCGTTTTAACGTAGTCGCGCGTCCCATGAATATTATTAATTTTTTTCTTTTTTGGGGGAAGGGCGGAGGGAGGGAGGGAGGGAGGGAGTTTGTTCTTTTTTCGTTTTTTATTTTGTTCTTTTTTTTTCTTCATTCACATTCATTCGATCGTACGATAAAAACACGCGTTTTACATCGGAGGGGTAAAAAAAAAATGATCATCGAAGTCTCACCCCTCCCCCCACCCCACCCTATCATCACCCAACGTTTGTTGTCCGCAATTTGAAAGGATATCTATCTAAAACATTTGTTGCTGCTCCTATATCGATCGAGCTTGCTAATATAAATTTCAACGAACACCCCACACACCCATCACGATTTTTCTTCTTCCTCCTCCTCCTCCTCCTCTTCCTCTTCCTCTTCTTCTTCTTCTTCTTGTTTTTTTTTCTTTTATCTTTTTTAATTCCAAGAAAAGGGGAATCGGTGTTCTTTGTTTTTTTTCTTTTTATCCTTTTTTGGTTATTTTGTTTATTTATTTTTTATTTATTTATTTATTTATTTTAACGACACGGGGAAGAAAGAGAAGAAGGATACGAACAACTAAACACCACCCCAACCCTCTCCCACACCATGAGAGCATGATTTATCAGCGGAGCAACGAGAAATAGTATTACAAAGTTTAACACACGTTAGTTATAGTCTCTTTACGATACTCGCGCGCGTTCTTTTTTCCTTTTTCTTTTTTTTTTTTYTTKTYMWYCMWTTTWAMCCCYWTTTTTTTTTTTTTTTTTTTTTTAATTTTTTCTCCCCCTCGTTCTTCTTCTTCTTCTTCTTCATTTTCTTTTCGTTTTGGTTTAATATATCTGTAGTAGTGTTTTCTTTTTTCATTCGCTATATTATTATTATTATTATTATTATTATGTTGTTGGTTATTTATTTATAATTCTTCGTCGTCTTCGGAATGGAAAAATCGTGATAAAGAATAAAGATCATTATTATCGTATCCCATGAGATGGGATCTATCGTGTTAAGGTGTGGTACCGCACGGTGGTGGTCCGCAGGGTGGGCAAACGAGAAAGCACAGGAACGTTTTTACGAGTAAATTCACAAAAGTTAAAGTCCCCGAAGTGGTACGCAATGAAAGCCGAGGATATGCTCGATATTTTCCGTTTTTATAAATTCCTCCCCCTTCTAATGCTTGTCTCTCCTCCTCCACATGTTCCTTCTGTTCCTCCTCCTCTTCTTCTTCTTCCTCGTAATCGTCGTAAATACGCGTCAAAGGATGACGTTGACGTTGCTGTTGTTGTTGTTGTTGTTGACTATGATGCTTATTTAGACGTTGACTAACATTATTATTATTATTATTATTATTATTAATATTAATATTATTATTATGATGATGATGATACTGATGCTGCTGATGATGATTCTGATTATGATGATTTTGATGATTATTATTATTATTATTATTATTATTGTTATTATTATTATTATAATAATTATTATTATTATTATGACGATGATGATGATGATGTTGTCGGTATTGGTGCGCGCATATCCTCGTTTCCATGACGCTCGGGCCTGGAGGCAGTGAAGGGCGATAAAGGGTGCGCGCTGATGGCGTATAACCGGACACACGGGGTGGATTGTGTGTCAAAATCCGCGGGGGTGTTCTTGGGGCCAGACTCGGCCTCATTCGGGATCACCAGTTAGCCATGCCGGGTTTGTTTAACGTCATGAAGTAGATCTGGCACGAACTTCCACCCTTCGCTGACGAGAAGAAGACCTTTTTTTTCCGAATAAAATTTTCATTAGGGGTTGTGACTTTTTTCCATATTTGTTTTTTTATTTTGAAATTATTCTGATAATTGTGTGCTGAGTGTCACGTTTGCTATCACAACGTTAAACGCGTGTTTATTATTTTTTAAATACATAATATGTGTATATATATAGTTTTTGAAAGGAATATTTCATGTCAGATGCTAATTTTGTCACATATATTTATATTAAATAATAGATAAATTTATACAGATAATTAAATCAACATTTTCATTCCCAAAGTTAAGTTCTGTTAAGGGATCAGAAAAAGTATAGTCAAATTTGCTTAGAGTTTATAGGATTAATTTAATTGATATTTTCTTAAACTACCCTACTAATACGTTGCGATAGCTAACGCGATAAAATGTATTAAAAATCAAATAATAATAATAATAGTGAATACCTTATCGTTACGTTCACAAAGGAACTTGAGCCGTTGAGCTTTCTTGTGCATAAAAACGCCATCGAGGTGGCCACTTTCAACGCTTCTAATTTCAATTGCTTTGTTACCCCATCCCATAATCTGACCGGTGCCGATGTAAGCAACGCTCGTAGGCATTTCACCCCATTGTAAGACCATTGTTTTGGCTACTCTGCCATAAGTATTAACGTAAACACCCTCGTTGTCGTAGCAAAGTAATAATTGCATGCCGTTACTGTTTGGTAATGCAACGATGCAGTGTGGACAAATAGGTCCCTGAGTCTGTAACGATGATCAATATCAAAATCATTAATCAATGTAAACTATAATTTCGTAATTTTGTTCTTTTGTAATGATGTGAGTAACCACCCCTCCCCCTCCATTAAAAATTATTATTCATTTAAATGCATTTTTTTAAGTGCTTACGTGTTTCGGTAAATAGATGTCGTAAACCGTAGCCGAATCCAAATCAACGGCGTGAAATCCATCAGCACTACCATAAATAACTTTCAATCTCGTACCTTCCTCAACAGTTAGGTCAACGAGAAGTGGCCTATGTGCTAACTCTCCGAACGATTTGAATGCCATGAATTTGTGATAGGGCTTTGGCGCCCATGCATAGATTTCTATAGAATCCTTTAATGCAATTACAAGGAACTTTATTCTTTCGTATTTGACTATTTTGAAATGCACCGCTCCTTGAAGATCACCGACGTTTATCCAACCATTGCGACGCTCGACTTGCTGCACAAATATTTGACACGTGATTTAATATCATAACAATTTATTCGTTCTTCCAAAACAAAATCAAAATTAAGGGTGTACAATTTGTTCTTTTTTTTTTCTTCATGGGGGGAATCTTTTATAAACGAAACAATGTTACAATTTTATTTTCACATGCAGATAATTTTTTTTTATAATGTTAATAAATCCTGTTATGCACACCATACATTATAGATCAAGTTTGAATACACGTCAAAAATTTTATCTTAACTTTGGACAATGATTGAATTTAAAAAAAAAAAGATTGTAGTAATGAAAATACTAGTAGTAAGTGTATCCCAATTTTAAATCAATAATTTATGGGAATATATATTGTTTTATATTTCTAAAACAAAATGTTAATAAATAAAATATAGATTATTGGATACTTACATCACTATGGCCATCGGTACGTAAAATCTTACTCTTCAGCCATGAGAGATAATATACCCTAACACGATTCTTCTTACCGCTTATGGTAACCAAAATATTCTGTCCTTCGAGTACTTCCATTTGTTGAAAACGTCTCCTACTTATAAGTTGATAAACTTTTCCTTGTCCACTCCTGTCGAGCAACATAAGCCCGTTCTCCGTACCGATTAACAAATTTACACCTAAAAATATAATTCAACAATCGTTAATATTTTCAATATATATAATATATATATACAATTTTATAATATATTTATTAAAAAAGAACATGAAAATTTTGTGCAGATTTTCGGATCAATTTATGCACACAAACAACCTAAAATAAAAAATATAATATCTAATAATTTCAATTATATAAGTTACAACAATTAATATTATACAATATTGTATAAATATTAAATAGAATATAAATATTAGAGGATTGTATATTTGAACTAACATAAAATGAAATTACAAAATCCAAAAAAAAAGAAGAAACAAACAAACAAATAAATAAATAAATAAATAAAAAACTTACCCCATAATGCGGCACATAAAATCTCGCTATTGAAACGTTTTTTGTATTTTCTTATTTCCGGCGTATCGGATGCCAAATCATGGCTAGTAGGTGTCACGTTAACGTTAACATGGGATTCTCTTCTGGCTGGTCCAGCACCAAATCCAAATGTCAGGAAAGATCTTTGTTTCTGTTGTAATGCAAACGGGGGTGGTGATTTAACCGCTTGTCGATACTGCAACAAATACAACTTCATGATCGAACACGACGAACGGGCCTTTTTCTTTTCCTGAATTAAACAATAAACGTGCTTTTCTCGTAATTAAAATCATAGGAAAAAGAAATTAGATAGAAGGATTATAATAATAGCGATTAAAAGAGATTAATGTAAGAAGAAGGGTTTGAATTGTTTCTTTTTTTTTCTTTTTGTTATACACCCCTTTTCTCCTCGAATGAGAGAGAGAGAGAGAGAGAGAAAGAGAGAGAGAGAAAAGAAAACAGAACAGGCTTTGATTTGTAATTGAAAAAAAACAAAACAAAAAGAAAATATTGCTAATTAATTCATTAATTATTTAAAGAAGAAAATTAAGATACGTAGTATATCATTCCTTTATACCATAATAATAAGTAATAATAATAATGATAATAGTAATAATAGTAATAATAATAATAATAATAAGGCACCACACAAAAGTTAGCCAGACAAGAAAATGCGACGACTTTGTATAATTAATTTCATTAATAAAACTTTTTGCTACGAGCAGAGAACGAAGACACAAGATGGAAATGGCACTCTAATTTATTTTATTTTATTTTATTTTCTATTTTTTCCATCAAACACCATTACACGTGAAATGACGTCATTTATTATTTTTAAATAACCTTTCTAATTAATTTTTCTAATTTTTTTAATACGTATCATTCATTGTTCGTGAAGAATCCCATTTAATTCGAGAATAGTAATATAATGATGATGATAAAAGAATTATTCAATTTATAAACGTGTTCCCCATTATATTGTTTCATGAATGAAATTAAAGTACGTCGGTGGGTTTAACAAATTATTAAATTTTCATTGTAAACATAACGAAATTGTGTTTTTATGTTATACAGGCGACACATCACAATTCTTCAACCCACCTACGTACAATAAACAATTAATAAATATTTCGATTCCTTATTATTTTTTTTTTCTTTCTTTCTTTCTTGGAGAACTGACACGTATAATTTGGAAAAGTAAAAAAAAAACAAAATTGGAAAGGTTGCTTGAAAATAATAATAATAATAATAATAATAATAATAATAATGATCGTTTTCAAATGAAATTACCCAAAGAAATTAAGATCTATAATATTATTTCCAAACGACAGAAAGTATATCGCAAAATAGAGATCTAATGTGAATAATATTTAATAAACACATGCATTTTTAAAAGGTTTAATGGGGAGTTAGTATATTAAAACGAATGTACCTCTTAGGGGAATATGAAATGAATTGTTAATTATATTTGTCATTCCATGAACTCTAATCAAACTTCTACGTTAATTAAATTCATATATAATAAAACGAAAAGTAGTTATATGATGATATAACGTGATTGGTTGGTTGGTTGGTTGGTTAACGTGAGCTAATGTGTTAATAATTATTTATTTTGTTAATAATGGTGTGTTATTATTAATAACGATGATATACAATGGGGGGGTGGGTGTTGTTGTTAACAAAAAAAATTATACACTATTAAATGAACATCGGGGTGATCATGCTAAAATTATTAATAGTATTGAATTAAAATACGAATCATGTCAATATAATTTTTAAATATATCCGTACATCTGATGCTTTTTTTTAACCAAAAATAAAAACAAAAACCAACTTGCACGATAGGGAAGATATTTTTTTTTTTATAGAAAAGAAGAAAAAAAAACCCAGATTAACATAGATAGAAAAGTGATAGAGAAAGAAAGATATATATAGAAACAGGTAGATATAGAAAAAAAAAAATAGATAAAGATTTGAGAAAAAGTAAAAAAAAAAAAACAATAAAAAAAAACTAAAGAACGACATAGTGTCCGTGTTTTCGCGATAAGTGTTAACGATTATTTATTTCATATTGCGTGACACCAGGAAAAGAGCCCAGAAACCAAAAGGAGGGTGTGGTAGAAAACGTATACGTAATAGTAGTAGTAGTAGTAGTAGTAGTAGTAGTAGTAGTAATAGTAGTAGTAATAGTATTGTTTCACGGAAAAAATCTTCATTCCTTTGCTCAGTGCACAGTGCAGAAAAAAACCGAGAATGCGTGTATACGCGGTACATACTTTATGTGTATTTTTACGTATATGTAATTTATCGTGTGTTTTATATATATATGTATATATATAACATATACATATTTAATACTATATATTATGTGCCTGTAATTGGAAAAGTTAATTAAATCCTTACAATTATAAATCATTTATTTTAGGATTTTTATTTCAGTACAGTGATATTATATATTTTATAATAAAAAAATCATTTCACAATGTTCTTACTCTCGAAAATTAATTTTACCAGGATTTTTGAGTCATTAAAAATTTGTCTTAAAAAAAATATAGAAATAAAATCTTTCCAAGAGAGTTAACCAGTATAAATTTGTTTAAAATAAAAATCATCAATTGTAA